CACAAAGAGACAAGACAGGGTTCCGATGGGACGGGGGGAACGGGACGAGCAAGGGAACAGGGCAGGACAGGGCAGGCAGGCAGGGCTGGTAGGAGTAGGCGGGTCGGAGGAACAGACAAGGCAGGCAGGGGAGGCAAGACAGGCAGGCAGGACGAACCGGGAGGACAAAAGACAGAGATAGTGCTTAGTGAGGCGCATTCGGAAATGGCAACAATACTTTGCAATGCATGTTGGCTCCGCAGGTCTTAAGTAGCGGAGCGATCAGCTGTTGATCACCTGCCGGTGCTTGATCCCACCCGTGTGGGCGTGACATATACCTTTTGTGTATGTAATTGAACACTTTTTTCAACTTACTGACCATCCCCAGGTTGATATCATTCTGTGTGCTGGATTTCATTCTTTACCCACTTGTGTGTGTAATGAGTGTAGGTACCAATATGTGCACTTATGCACGAGTGAGAGTGAAGACCTCTCATTCTAGCAGTTCTGTTGCCTTGGAAACCACAAAGCCTTTATGTGCTGCATTGCCTGCATTGTGTGTCTGTGGGAAAAAAAGAGTGGGGTATACATAAGAGGAGGGAGAGAAGGAAGGAGAGAGGTGGAAAGGCAAGGAAAACATAGGAATGAGTACCCCAAAAAACTACAAGAGGTTTCTGTATTTGTTGGTGAACGAGGGAACGAGTGTTTTTCAAGCTTGATGCATGACCAATAGGCTTAGATGGCCTAATTTGTTAGCATCCAATGAACAGAAAGATATGCATTGATGTAGCAGTCAACTACAGGCTTCTGGAACCAATCAGACTTCAGTTAGCCTGCTTATGTACTGTGTAACACTGGAATGTGCTTCTCCTATTTACATATATACATATGCTCATACCCAGCCATTTAAGCAAAAGACCTTAATTTCTTCTTTTAACCTATGACGATTTTTAATGTTCATTTATTTAGTGAATCCTTCCCTACCAGCTGATCATAAAAAGTTGACTGTTTGATTTCTGAGAGAAGTCCAAAGCCTCCTTTTGGGGTCAGCCTTGACTAGAAGACTGCTACTACACTGCCAGAACGAGGCAGATCCTCTGAGTTCTGCGTATGTGCACCATTGTCGACTGGGAGTCTGGGGGATCAGCAATTAGCTAAGGCTGTTGTCAGCTGGAGGGGGAGATTACAGGCTTAAACTGTGCAGAAAGCATGCTTTTGGGGGGAGCTTCAGACAAATGACATTTTATGTACAGAAGTCCATTGGTATCATCTCAAAAATAAACTAGCTCTAACTTCTTTAAATAGCATTATTAAGAGATTCAATGTTCATATTGTGATGACTTCCAACAAGCATTCTTTTACTGTTACTGTTAACAGTGTGGTACATAGGGAAAAAATGATCAATAGAAAGTCTGACGTTATGAAATGTTCATGTAAACACGTGTGAAAAGACATGGATCCTACATATTACATGGATCCTACATATTACATGGATCTTACATATTTTGTTTAGAGTTTTTGTCATTTGTTACCATGACAACTCTGCATTTTATTTTTGGGCTCTTTTGATAAACTGTGCCCTTGTTGTTATTATTATGTAAGATGTACAGTTTATAACAGGGGTTTCCTATGGCAAGATGTTGTACTTTTGTTACGTCTAGCTTATGAAGAACATCTTGTTATTTTTGGCTTGGAAAACAGTAGCATGTAACAGTGTGAAGTTTGAATGGACTCACTTCTGCCTTATTTCAGTTCATTGAAAGACTCCAGGGTATTGTGTGTTTCTTTTCAGAGGTGGAGGAGTTTGACTGCTGAGGGCTGACAAATCACTTGAAAATGTCGTTATTGTTTATTTAAAAAAGCCCGAGAACTGCATTACATGTACTACAACAGTGCTTGTGGTTCAGACACCATCAATCTGCAAACCATCCATCCTTAAATTGTGTACCCTGGTTAGGGTTACATACCAATAACCCACACTGCATGGGTGGGATTCAAACCCAAACCCTGTGGATACAAAGTCTTAGTGCTACTAACTGACCCTGACTAACAAACCAATAAACACCTGGAAATTAGGCCACAGCCCTTAGATATCAGTTTTTGAAATCAAAGAAACATCAAAAATAGTAATTTGTTGTATATACAGGAGTTAAAAGACACTTTATTAATCCCTGCAGTGAAGTTCACTTTGCCCCATCTTGCTCTCCATACAGGTAAGAGCAGGTTTTGGGGGTAAGAGTGAAGGAGCAGCCACCTTGCAGCATCCAGGGAGCTGGGGGTTAATTAAGGGCTTTTCTCCAGGGTCCAGAGAGGTGTGACTATTCTGCCGAGGCTAGGCTCAATCCGGCCACCTTCTGATCACACACACAGAAGTGTCTGAATTCAGGGGCTACACCCTTCTAAGACTGCATTCAAAGACCGAACGCATCACAGCGGTGCGACAAGGCTGTCCCATTTCAAAGGCTTCTTAAGATGCGGTCTCACCAAGTCACATAGGACCCACCCAATGGATCCTTCACAGCCCAAGGTATCCCAAGATTCATCGTGCAGAGGTAAAGTAGGTGCGTCCCAGCTAAGCGATATGAGTGACAAGGATATGAGCGGGAACAGCTGGTGACGCAAATAGGAAATAATCTTTAGGACAAACTGTACCATTTGACGGTGCTTTCGGGTCGCCCTTCAAAGAATGCAGCCTACGAAGGTTACACATTCATAGACCACGTCCTTCGAAGGATGCAGCCCTTGAATTCAGACACAGCTAGAGGCTCAGCTGCTGAGCCACACATCACCCACACATGGAAGAGGTACTGGAAATATAGCCAAATCCATGCACACTCTATTTTACAGGGTTCATACGGTCATGAAAATACTGGAAAAATCATAGAATTAAGAACTCACATTTTCCAGACCTGTTATGGAAAAGCATCTGTTATGGAAGTTATTGAGAAAAAAAAATTGAAAAAAGAGGAAAAAAATTATATATTTCACAACATTTTGGAAAAGTCATGGAGTCAGCGCAGGTCCTGAGTACGGAAGGCTGTCAAGGCAGAAAACGAGAGAAAATATGTTGCAACACGCATTTTTCCCCTCTACATATGGATTTTTTCCCCTGTACTGTATATGTTGCGACACAGTATCACGACTAGAATGTGTAAAGGCAATATGAAGCCCAGATATCAGACAGTACAAAAGAAAGAAGTGAGCATGCATGTGTGTGCAATTGTGTGGTGTTTTGCGACGCCACAGTGCACTTCACATATAAACAGTAAATGCCCTACCTGTGAAAAAGGTTGCTCTGCTGTGAGTGCAGGCTAACAGACATTTTGATGCAGAAAGTTTAAGGTGTGTGTGTGTGTGTGTGTGTGTGTGTGTGTGTGAGACAGAGAGAGAGAGAGATGTGATGAGTCGGTGTGATTCAAGTGGTTTACATTTTATATATAAAATAAACATTTTCACAATAAGCATAAAGTCATTTGTAGCTTATAATTCTACGCAGGCGCTAACAGTTGCAACACACACCCAAGGTCTGACCTTCCTATTTTTACATGGAAAGTGCACTGTGGCATTATTTGTTTATGCCATTATTATTATTATTATTATTATTATTTATTATTATGTTAGACTTTACACATTATATAACATGTTGGGTATACTTCAAGTTAACATTATTTCCTTCTTTTGTAACAGGGTATATTGCGCTTATGTCTCTTTAGGTTAATTATAATGGCACACAAATAATTTGTCTATTTACAACTCAGTAATTATTGTTTCTTGTTATTGGAAATGTAAGGAATAAATTAATGAACTTTCTATGTGCTGACAGTGTGGTTAATAATTGTTCAGCTCACCATTATTATAACGGATGGAAATTGAACTATGCAACTTTTTTGATAGTGTGTGTCTGCATGAGAGAAAAGCAACATGCATATCTGTCAAACTATACGCGATGGATGGTACATCCATATCCAAAGGATGAATACAAGATCATAACAGCTGGTTCCTGTACACAAAATACATGTTTGTAATTGTTTCATGTGATGATGATCACATAACTTGGAACACTTCTCCTGAATGGGTTGAATAAAAAATCAATTCTTGGAAATTTAGCTTGAAGTCCTAGAGAAATCATGAAAAAGTCATGGAAATTTGTTGATTGAAAAAGTATACAAACCCTGTACTGTATGTAATCTTTCATGTTTGTCCCATTGGCTTGGTATGTAAACTGAGGAATTTGTCCAAGGAGAATTTGGTGCAGTGAAAATATCATGTAATCAATGTGTAATTTAACGTGATTTTTACATGTAATTTCATATGATCGCCCTTTGTGATTTCTTGTGATTGATACATTCAGAAAAACCTCGTGTGCTTTTTGGAATGTCTTGGCTTGTCAAAACAACCTGTAGATAAAAGTGGTGGTAAATATCAGAAAGTGACGGGTATAACAAGCACCACCCAGCATGGATATCACAAAAAAAAAGTTTTTGCATTTGTTTTCCACTGACCCATTTGTGTTGAGTGTCTAAGTAGGATTTGCTAATGGGGATAATTGTGTGTGTGTGGTGAGTGCTGAGAGATATCAAGCTGAGGCCTTGGAGACACGGGGAGATCTTTGCCCATTTGCTCAGTTGGAAATAGAAAACCTGTCCCCCCCGAGGACAGCACAGATGCTTTGGGTTGCACAGGGGCTGTAGGCCAGTTAGACATGCCTGTACTATGATTATCTGCACTGTGGGGTTCTGTGCGTTGAGGTCTTCAAAAGAATGGCTATATAGTAATGTGAACAGCTACAATATTTAGCTGTTCTTGTTCTCTTCTATGATGCTACTCTTGTTAGTATCTTTTTAGAATGTTTTCAAACAAAAAGTCTTGTTTGTCCAATATACATACAGTACACCTCGTTATATTATCAGCCAATAATAATCATGTTGCTTAATCATTCTACAATGAACTGAGAAAAATGATTGCAGCGCCTTTAAAAATGGCACTTAAGGCTCTTCTCTGTCTCACTGTGTTATCGACAGACCAGCAGTACCCATGGTCCTCGTCCAGGTACTCGAATGAAGACAGGTGCTCCACGCCATCTTGGAACATGAAGGGCTTATCGGGCAGCCGTATGCAGCACCAGGTCCCCGGCGGACACGCCTACGGCTTGGCTGAGTTCGAACATTCCCATGAGCACCACTTCCACCATGGGCCCGAGGTCCGGCCCACCTATCTGCTGAGCCCTACTGAGAGCTGTCCCATGGACTACCACCACCGCTACTCACCCCGAAGTTCCATCCACTCCGATTGCATGATGATGCCAGTCGCTGTACCAACAGGTGGCGGCGGTGAGCACGTCTCCAGCAGCACCTTTCCCAGAATGCACTACAGCTCGCAGTATTATGACACGGCCTCGCGGGATGACTGCGCGGCTGCCGCTGCTGCTGCGTCGGTGGCAGCCTCTCACCACCATGTGGCCGCAGCTTCCTCTACCACCTCGGGCAAATCCAACCGCATCCCCGCCAACCTGCTTGACCAGTTTGAGAAGCAGATGCCCCTGCATCGCGATGGCTTCCACACGCTGCAGTACCAGCGCACCTCCGCTGGGGGTGCTGGCGAGCAACGGAGCGAAAGCCCCGGACGCATCCGTCACCTGGTACACTCCGTGCAGAAACTCTTCACCAAGTCTCACTCACTGGAAGGCTCCTCCAAGATGAATGGCACCAAGGGAGACACAGGCGGCAGTGGAGTGGGTGGGGGCCATCATCACGGTCACCACTCAAAGCACGGGAGCAAGAGGAGCAAAAGCAAGGAGCGTAAGCATCGTTCAGGCGTAGGAGGCTGGTGGAGCTCCGATGACAACCTGGACAGCGATAGCACGTACCGGACACCCAGTGTCATGAGCCGTCACCATATTGATCATGTGGGCCACTGCTACCCCGAGGCAGTTCAGGGCCACTTTGGCGACCTCACCCTCAAGACCTCCAGGAGCAACAACGATGTCAAGTGCTCAGCCTGCGAGAGCTTAGCTCTGGCCCCTGAGGGCAAGTTCATGAAGAGGAGCTCTTGGTCAACGCTCACCGTTAGTCAGGCCAAGGAGGCTTATCGCAAGTCCTCCCTGAACCTAGAAAAACCCATGATACACCAGGACCTGAAACCATCCCTGAGGTCTTGTCATTACTTGCAGGTGAGTTTAGCCTGAACTATATTTTCTTTATTGGTTTCTGTTAGCATTACTGGCTCTGAAAGAGAGTAACTGCTAAGTCCCACCATTCACCCTCCTAAAGAGTGGATCAATGCAAACATAATTAGTCAAATATATGTGTGTGTGTGTGTGTGTGTGTGTTCCAAGCTTGTGGCATCCTCCTTCTTTCAATTCATCCTAACCAACTGACATTCTAGCCCACATCTACATCCTAGGTCAAAGAAGGTTCTGGCTGGAATGCCTTGGAGTCTTTGTACATGTTTGCTTACTGCACAAAGGAGCACAGGAAGAGGGCAAAATGGAAAGAGTAAGAGAGAGTATGCAGCACTGAGCCAATTCAGTCCCAAGCATGTGCTAATCCAGGGATAGCATTCAATTTTCAGCCTTTTAATTTTGTCTGTGCTTTCTTGTGGACACTGGACAAAGCTAATTAATAGATGCTTTCTGCTGAAATATATCGCTGGGTTAACTTCCTTTCAAGCATCACAATTGATTGGTGATTGGAGTCAAATTGCCAAGTTCCTCTTTAATAGCTGGGTGTTCACAAACACGAACCCTGTGACAGCCTTTGAAGATCGTATGCTGAAGCGTTTCTCAGGAAGCAATTTGCTCATGTTTCAGATTGCAGCCAGCATATGCTTCTGAAAATAGCACGCGGCTTTAAATCTTCCCGGTATTTTTAGTCGGCCTTATCAATCCTGTGACGGTGATTCATTTTGTGCGAGGGGCTTTCGGAAAACAGACACATCTGGCATCTGGGAGAAGTCAAGGTAACATAACTATTTCTGCGTCTGCTTGTTTATGCATAGATGTTATCTGCTGGATTTCAGCTGTTTGATGTCAAGATAAAGCATGCTTTGATATACATGAGCATCTGATACATATATAATCAGAAATCTTTTAAATGAATTTCTTTGGATTGAAGTAGAGAGGGTGCACCAGTGTGCGAGGCCCCACCGTGGCTTCACCTGTGTGCAGCTTGCATGTTCTTCCCGTGTCGTCATGGGGTTTCCTCTGGGTACTCTGGTTTCCCCCCACAGTGCATGTGTGAGTGAATGATGTGTGAGTGTCCACTGTGATGGGCCGGTGCCCCGTCCTGGGTCATTCTCTGCCTCGTGCCTGTAGCTTCTGGGAAAGGCTCCGGAATCCTGCATTGGACATGAAAGTACACAAAATGAATTAATTTGAAGTAGAGTAGCTAAATATGTATAATTAAAAATACTTATAAATGTATTGTGAGCCCAAAACACTTTGCCTGTTTGTGTCTGGTTTCAGGGGGTGGTACTCCAATTGAGTGTCGCCCTTTGCAAGGGGAAATGCGTCGACTTCTGGTTTGCATTATTGTAGTTCCTTGGGAGTCTTGTTTGTACAGTATCCCTGCAGCATTTTCACGCAAGGTAAATTAGAAATGGGAGAATGGCGTATAGGCAAGTTCCGGGGTGTACATGAGGACGCTCTGCTCTTCTGAAGCTTTCAGTTTCAGTGAGTATTTTTATACCTGTTGTCATAAGTTTAGGCAGGTAGTCACACCGAATCCCAGCTAAGATTAAAGTGATAAACCAAAGGACCACTCAGATTGGTCACTGCCATTTTGCTCCAACTCAATTCTCACAATAAAGGTGGATGAGGACGGCAAAGAATGGACAGATGTCCTACTGTATCAGCACCACACCAAGCTAATTCATTCACCAACTGTAATGCCTAAGCTGTCTCAATTTAAAGCTACAGTGACTCTTGCCGAAGCCGGGACAGTGTGGCAGGGAACCCGACAGAAGGCTTAATTCTGTCCGTTTGGTTTAACATGGTTTTACTGCTTCATGCTCTTGTTGGTCTCCTTCGGTAAGCAAAGCAGATTACAGGTAGGATCTTCCCACTGGGAAATTTTGTGCTGGCTTAGTGTCACATGGATGCCAAAGCGTTAGTGTCGAGATGCGGTTTGAGGCTAGAAGGGGAACCTGGACTGGTGAATTCTGACAGCACAAGCAGGGATGAAGCGTGAGCTTTATTCACATCTGTCTCAGCTGCTACCAAATGTGACATAATGGAGAAGAACAAAAAAAAGTGCTCTTCTTAAACCTAGATACAGTAGGAGGAAGGGTTACGGTGTATGTATTCTCCCTGGAGTTTGAACCCATGACCTATACAATGTTGGCACAATTCCCTTCTTGTAGAGCTACAGGAGCTGTTTTTTAATTCATTGAATTTCCTCAGAATTGCGTGATCCAGAATTTTCTCACCCTGTCTCTCTTCAAAGTACGATGAAGAATTAGCATGCGTGACCGTTATCAGTGTGGCAATGGGGCTGTCTTGCTTCATATAGTGAGTTAATTAATTTTCCCGTGGGCTCGCCAAGGTGGACGTCTGAGAAGAAAGATGCAATGTGATTATGAAGGTAGGAGTTTCCTGTAATATTCGGTTTTAGGAGAATTTAGGCTTCCATAGACGGTGCCAGCCATTTAGAGCTGAGCAGTCTGATTATTTACTTGGCATGCCAGTGAATTTGAGGTTATTTTTTATTAGCATGCCAAAATGTTGGAATTAAAAACGTGGTGCTGTCTGCAGCCAATTCAACTGCACCCTAAATCAATTCAGATCACTGGCTCTGGTAATTGGCTCCTTACTGCCTGTCATTACCTGGTTAAAACAGAGCTGTGATGCTGGCTTATGCCTTACTAGTCGCATGTTGCCGATGATCATCTTCCCGTGAGGCGAGACGGTGCGTTAAGACTCTGAAAGCATGTTCAGCCTTAGGGATTAGCGGCTCCTTTTCCGCGGCCCTCAGACACCGGCTCCTTGGCTGCGCTCTCGTGTCTGCATGAGCGCATGCGTCCCTTCCTGTGAGCCTCCAGTTTTGTTGACGCATCGAGCTGTAGCAAGAAAACTAAATAAAGAAATGAAAAGCGAACCGGAGCCGCCGTTTCCCGCGCTCCCCTTTTCCTGTCAGGCTGGTTATTTTCAGCACTGAAACAGGCAGCGGCTCCTGACTTTATAAGTGGAGGATCCTCACTAAAACACCAATGTGATGCGTTGGTCTTATTTTCAAGTTAACAGATTATATTCATTCCCAATAACCAATTGTTGTTGTATGTTTCATTAGGAGCAGCATGGAAAGTAGAAGGGTGGTCAACAAAGCCTGATCTTTCTTTTTTTGTAGATGAATACATTTTACATCTTTACCCTATTTTGGGAGAACAGCTAATATCAGCATACACCTCCTGTTAAACTGAATAACTAGGAAAAGGCCCAGTATGGCCTAAAATGCTCATGGGGCGAATTTCTTTCTCTTGTCAGTCTTGGATGGATGCCTTTTCCCCTTTCAACATGTACTTTCCTGCAGAAGCCGACAAAACCTGGCCTGATATTCTCACCAGTGTGGCAGCACAAAGCATGTAGACTCTAATGGGACTGAACCCCAGGACATATTTGAGATGAAATACATTGTGATGAACTCCTGATTGGTAATGGACGGGGCTGTTGGAGGAATAAGATAGTGGTGTTTGCTGATGTGTGGAGGGGTGAGTAGAGCAGGAAGTGTAGAGTAGTATTTCCTCACCTGGTCCTCAGGGACCCACAGACAGTCCATGTTTTTGCTTCCACCTAGTTCCCTGCCAGACAGTCCATTACCAAGTGCTGGGAGGGAGCAAAAATGTGGATTGCATGGCAGGGAGCTGGGAGCAAGCGATATCTTGCACTGTCTGTCGGTCCCTGAAGACCAGATTGGGAAACACTGGTACCAGAGCCAGTACAGTACTCATCCCCCAAGGGCGAGACCCTCTGGTCCCATGGACCAATCCCTTCACTTCAAAGTGCCACCAGCATGGCAGCACAGAAAGAGGCAACAGCAAAGATATGGGGAGTAACAGGGTGACACCTTCATCCAGGAAAACAAAGCAGACTATCGGCTTTCAGCTGGAGCACTTTACAGCGAAACTAAGGAAGCAGCAAAGATTTAGTTTCTTCTTTTGGTAAAAGTGAAAGACGAATAAATGAGGAGAGTTTAACCCCCAATTAATATCAACAGCGCTCCTCTCTTCATGATGTTGCTGCCCAGGTCTGGATCACAGCTCCATAGAAGTCTTACCAAGTAATTTATTACCCAGGTAATTGAATAACGTCAAATGGAAGGAGTGACATTTCTAATGTTCCTCTGATAATGACTGCATCTGTTGGATTAGACAGCCATCCTGAAGAAGATAGTAATAGTTCTAGTAAAGTTGAAAAAGAAACTTAGAAAATTTAAAAGCTCCCCTTATATTAAAGATTGTAAAGAGTTTAATCGGACTGAATTGTCTTGGTTTTAACTGGTGCTGTACAGTAAAATGAAAGGCTTTTACGTGGGGTCTACTTTTAGTGACAGGGACTATGCAGTGACATTGCCCATACAAAACAGAGCAAGACTGGGGTGCAAAAAAGTACAGAGGCAGGAGCGCTAAATACTGCAGTGTGATGTGAAAGGAATGAATCTCGACATCGTGTGCGGTTATATGAAAATAACCAACAACAGCTAGGTGTACCGAGGCCCGATGTGAAGAGTGGACCTTCTAACCAAGCTGGAGTTATTTTCATATAACCGCAAACCTCAAAATGGTTTATCCTACTTATACCACGGCTAACAAACAAACAATAATAACAGAGTAAAGTAGTCACAGTTCATTTTTCAGAGGAAAATTATTGCAGTTAACATTTAGTATTGTTCCAATGTGCTCTTAAAAATATAGTCCCTATAAGCATAGAACATCTGAACAGGCTTCTCACTGGAAGTGGTAAGTTACCATAGAAACCGTCAACAGACTGCCGCTTGCGTGTTGAAAACCAAGGAACATTTTGCTGATAAGATTTATTAGTAAAAAATCACACAGGTTTTTACATTAGCATGTTTAATCAAACATTAAACGCTTTAATACAGAACTGTTATTAGGCTACTGGAACTACCTGAGTGGTTACATAAAAATAATCAGCACCCATGTGACATCTCTGGACCA